CACGGACCATCGCGCCATCAAGTTTGTAAGTTCGTGCGCGAACAACAGCGAACGCATAGCCCGATGGATGTCGTTTCTACAAGAGTTCGATCTGGAGATAAACCATATTCCAGGTACGGAAAACAAGATCGCAGACACGTTGTCGAGACAATACCAAGACGACAACAATCAAACATCAATACAAAACGAGTACAGAGTATGCTCGATCCTCGATTTGGAAAAAGAAGACAACCCAGAAAATTGGATAAAGACCATCCAGGAAGCTCAACGAAACGACCAGGACATCCGAGAAAAAATAACGCAACAAGATCCAAACGTTAAAATCCGCGATGGACTAGTGCGGATAAATCACGGAATCGATGAGCGAGTCTTAATCCCGAATAAAATCGCATGGGAATTGATAAACTCTGTACATAAATTTTTGGTACATTTTGGAACCGACAAAATGATCGGATTCACAAAAAGATTCTTCCACTTAGAGAACCTGGATAGATTAACAAGAGACGTAGTCGCGTCATGTAATACGTGTATGGCATCGAAGTATTACACTAGACCGACACAAGGTCCACAATTTTACGACCTACCGGAAAAAGAAAACGACACCGTATCGTTAGACTTGTTCGGTCCTTTACCTAGAACCAAAGAAAGAAAAAGATACATCATCGTAATTATGGACCAATTCTCGAAATTAATCCGTTGTTTTCCGATATGCAACCAAAAAATCGAAACAATAATGCAAACGATCGAAGAAGAATACCTAACAAACATGACAAAACCAAATACATTTGTAACCGACAATGGAGGACAATTTTTGTCCAAAAAATGGTCCGACTTTGCCAACGAAAAAGGATGGGAAATCCGCAAAACGTCACCATATAACCCACAATCCAATCCAGTGGAAAGAGTCATGAAAGAAATTGGAAGAGTAATTAGGTCATATTTTCATGACAGACATACACAATGGGAAAAGATAATAAAACGTTTCGAAATCACTGCGAACGAAACCCATCACTTTTCAACGGGAGAAATACCAAATAAACTGCATCCCGAGTTACAAATTGAGCTTAAAATAAATAATCGACTAATTCCAGAGGAAGCGGAAAATCAAGACCATCAGGAGCTGAGAACCAAGGTAGCCAACCATTTGGAAAAGCAAGCCAACCAGCGACGAGTTCAAGCGGAAAAACACCAATCAGCCAAACAATATGAAATCGGAGACCGTGTATGGGTCAAAATTCACCGCAGATCGGACGCAAACCGCAAAACTACCAAAAAAATGCATTTAATTTATGATGGACCATTCATTATTCGCGATATAATAAGAAAAAACGCGTATCTGATAGAACATCTCGACGGAACAATAGTCGGAACATATAATTCCCGTCAAATCAGACCGCATCGCGAACCAAAATTGAGAAATCAAGAGGAACAGCGGATCATAACATCCGACGCCGAAGAAGAAACAATACGTCCACAAGCTAGCGATCAAGAAATAATTTCCGACACTAAACAAGAAATCGAGCCTCCACGAACAAATAATCAGAAGGATGGACCAATAATAAATTCCGATTCGGAGGAAGATTCAGAGATAAATATGATTTCGTTGATTCCAATCGAACGACTAATAAATAGATCGAGTTTAGAAGGGGGCGAAAAAGTAAATAACCAAATTAAACCACAAACAAAAATTTGGGATTCCGAAATAGCAACCGAAATCCAAGAAATGTCATACTCACGAGAAGGGATCAAAAGAAACTTTTTTCTAAACCATAATTGGTTTAATCATCAGAAAAACGTAGTTTTTCACAAAATTGGAAACTTACATCCACAAAAACCAATTTTCCACGGAAATACAAACGAAATCACAAACAATTCACAAATTCCATGAATAAACTACGAGAAAAACAGACAAATTCAAAAATCAATTCCACAGCATTCAAAAAGTTACAGAATAGACGTACCACTAAAATCATCTACTATAATACAATTTGCCAAACCACAACCTGAAAGAGAAAAAGGAATTGAAAAATACTCACCACACGAAGATTTCATTCCACCAAGGAAATCTGAAAAACAAAAAGAAATTAATCAACAACCCACAAAAAACAAGAGTATCTTACCTCAGGAAAATCCAGACCAGCCCAGGAAGCCTGAAAAAAGAGAAAATAAAACTTTAACTTACCAGGATCCGAATTCGTCCAAAGAGAAAATCAATGAAGACAAACTTGCAAGAAAAAGGAAAATTACCCAGCAACCTTAAAGAAAAGAAAAAATTAAACAGCAATCTAAAGAAAAAGAAAAATACTTACCACCTGAAGATCCCAAACCATCCAAGGAAGAAGACGGATCTCCTGAAAAAGAAAGAAAGTTAAAGAAAAATAAAAATATTAACGATTTAATAAGTAAACAGCATGAATTAACACGTTCGAACGAAAAATATATGTTAATTAAGGGGATCCTAAATGATGTTTTTACCGACCGAATGCGAGAATATTTATTTTTTTCATATAACTTTTTATTGACTATACTGATCAATAAATCCTTTTCCACGATTAAAGTACTTATAAAAACGGACCGCGCTAGCTATGTTTGCATATATAAATCATATAAAAATCAAAAATTACAATTTTGTTATCGGCTGCTTTGTGTCAGTTCGTAATAATACTTATTTAATAAAAAAAGTTTTGCAGTTTGTCTGTGCATGAAATATAGTATGCGCGGTAAGGATTATATGAAGAAATATTAGTAAGCAATTAAAAGTGAGATTGCAAGTCTAATAAAAAAGTTATATATAAAAAAACATTTCACGCATATGTGTGTGTGCAAATCGAGGCTGCGGAATAAAACAGAGCAGTAGATTAGTTGCGTGATATCGTGATAGATGGAGCTGCAACGTGTTTCTCTCTCTCTCTCTTTCTCTCGCTCTCTCTCTTTCTGTTTTTTATAAGGTCTGTTTGTTTTAGCTACACTGGCCACATTAGTTCAGAGGTTGTCTTTTTTGTTCGACATTGGAAGGAAAAAGATAACCTCTGAATTAGTGTAGCCAATGCATGCCATTATATATTTTATGTTTGATAATATAAATAATACATCAATTTTTTTCTATAAAAAACTATATATATAAAACAGAAAAAATTTTGTGTTATTTATATTATCAAACACATGAAATATATAATGACATACAATTTTATTTTAATTATATTTGTATAATACAATAATATTCACATGATTTTTATAGATAATAAGTATATGCATTTATAATTTATAAAAACTAAATCTTATTTTTCATACATCGAAGTAATTCGAGTAATGATTTTACTGAAATATATATTTGATAGACATTGTGATTCTAACGAATTTTATTTGTTCGCATATACCTGTAAATTGTTATAAAAATTACTTTTACTGTAAATGTAAGATCAGGGTGTCTAGCGAAACAAGGTTAAGAAATTCAAAGACATTTCCAGGATTTCCAGGACATTTATTATAAAAAAACTGTAATTCTCATTATTACATATTATAAGTCGAAGTAATTCGTTGAAGTAATGATTTTACATATATTTTATATGAATTAATTCAAATGAATTTTATTATTTGTTCATATATAGCTGTAAATTGGTATAAAAATTATTCTCACTGTAAATGGAAAAGATAAATTGTATACAGTATATAAAACAGAAAGAGAGAGAGAGAGAGAGAGAGAGAGAAAGGGAGGGAGATACACGAAATAGAAGTAAAAAGTATGAGACCTTCGTAAAATTTGTATCTTTGCCTATAAGAAAAAGATTGAAGTTGAAACTGTGCATATTTATTAGTCTTGCATTGTATAAATTTTTTAACTTAAAAATCGACAATTATCTTCTAAAAAAAATTACAATTATTTTCTATAAAAATGGAAAATTTTTGTAAATTTTATTTTCACAAATTGTAATTTTTTTTAGAAGATAATTGTCGATTTTTAAGTTGAAACATTTATACATAGCAAGACTAATAAATATGCACAGTTTCAACTTCAATCTTTTTCTTATAAGCAAAGATACAAATTTTACGAAGGTCTCATACTTTTTACCTCTATTTCGTGTGTCTCCCTCCCTTTCTCTAACAAATATAACAAAATATTATAAAACTAACCTTTTTCATATTTTTTCCCGGTGCCGGAGTCGTCGTCGGCATCGCCGTCGATGCCGGGGTCGGCGGCGGCATCGCCGTCGGAGTCGACGTCGGCGTCGTCATTATCGTTGCCAGGGTCGGCGGCGGCATCGCCGTCGGCATCATCATTGTTGCCGGAGTCGACGTCGGCATCATCATCATCATCGTTGCCGGGGTCGGCGGCGGCATCATCATCATCGTTGCCGGGGTCGACGGCGGCATCGCCGTCGGCATCATCTTCGCCGTCGGTGTCGACGTCGGCGTCGTCATCATCGTTGCGAAGGTCGGCGGCGGCATCGCCGTCGGAGTCGACGTCGGCGTCGTCATCATCGTTGCGGGGGTCGGCGGCGGCATCGCCGTCGGAGTCGACGTCGGCGTCGTCATCATCGTTGCGGGGGTCGGCGGCGGCATCGCCGTCGGCATCATCTTCGCCGTCGGTGTCGACGTCGGCGTCGTCATCATCGTTGCGAGGGTCGGCGGCGGCATCGCCGTCGGCATCATCATCGCCGTCGGTGTCGACGTCGGCATCATCATCATCATCGTTGCCGGGGTCGGCAGCGGCATCATCATCGCCGTCGGTGTCGACGTCGGCGACGTCATCATCGTTGCGGGGGTCGGCGGCGGCGGCATCGCCGTCGGCATCATCATCGCCGTCGGTGTCGACGTCGGCGTCGTCATCATCGTTGCGAGGGTTGGCGGCGGCATCATTGTTGCGAGGGTCGGCGGCGGCATCATCATCGCCGTCGGTGTCGACGTCGGCGTCGTCATCATCGTTGCGGGGATCGGCGGCGGCATCGCCGTCGTTGCCGGCATCATCATTGTTGCCGGGGTCGGCGTCGGCGTCGTCTTCGACGTCGGTGTCGGTGTCGGTGTCGGCGTCGTCCTCGGCGTCGGCGTCATCCTCGGCGTCGACGTCGTCCTCGGCGTCGACGTCGTCCTCGGCGTCGACGTCGTCCTCGGCGTCAGCGTCGGTGTCAGCGTCGTCCTCGGCGTCGTCTTAGCAATACTGCCTTCGCTTCGTGCTGCAAGAAAAGATATATTTATATATTACCGAATTGTATATATATATATATATATATATATATATAGACCTATAATTTATAAAATGTAATAATTTACTTACGTCTCCCCGGCGGCATCTTATTTTCCGAGCGATGGGCAATGAGCTGGCGACGGACGACGGGCGACGGGCGACGGCTAACAAATGATCACTGATTTCTTTCGTCTCTTCTTTTGGCTCACATACGCCGTAGTGGTGGGGGTATGGGGAAATTCGCGGCGTGACTGGCACGTGACACAAAAAATGTTTTCAAGCGAGCGCGAGAATTTCGAGCATGTTTTTTTCAGGACGTGCTATATAGAAATGAATAAATAAATAAATAAATATGTATTTATATATATATATATATTGCATATATAAATACATATTTACTTATTTATTCATTTATATATATATATATATATGTGTGTGTGTGTGTGTGTGTGTGTGTGTGTGTGTGTGTGTGTGTATAAACTAATTTATTTTTAATATAATAAAATCACGTGCGTGTCATAAAGAAATATATAATTGTTCGTTTGCATTGAATGTCACTATTTTCGAAAAAGTAAAAAAAGAAAGCTCGCTCTCTCTCTCTCTCTCTCTCTCTCTCTTCTCTCGATACTTTATGCTTAGTATTCTATCAATCAGTGATTAATGCAATCAATCAATCAATATATCGTTTTACGGCAACAGCCAGTTGCTTGTTCATTCACTCATTCATTCTTTTAAAATATGTTCATTTTTAAACATAATTATATAAATTATTATATAGAAATTATAGGGATTTATATATAATCATGTCAAATTATATATAAAACAAATATTTATATAAATATTTGTTTTATATATAATTATGATGTATATGAAGTGAATTATGATGTATATGATGTATATAATATATATGAAGAAATATTTATTATATATATATATATATACAGAGTGAGCCATTTGAATCTATCACCCCAAATATTTCCGTTCCCTTGCATTTTACAAGAAAATGTTTCAGATAAAAGTTATATGGTTTCGAGGGGGACATAAGATGGTGTCAATAAGTTGACCTCGAATAGTTGCTTAAAGGTCACATGAAGGTCACCTTCAATATGTTAAATGGAACTGCCTATTTTTTATTGCATATTCTTGTAGCTTATCTCGAGACGTTTCCAAAACACTATAAACAAATGTATTTTCGTTAAGTATTTTTCGAGTTGTGAGGCTTGAAAGCTACAGTGTTCTGTAACGTTCTGTTCGTTAAGTAGTTTCCGAGTTGTGAGTCATCTGAATAGTCAGAACATCTGAAGGTCATCAGATATGTGGCTGTTTTAAAAATTTCAAGATGGCGGACAAAAGTTTTAGTCAACCGATTTTCACCAAATTAAGTTTACGAGGGTTTTTGGGGTTGCTGATCACGAATCTGAAGTCAGATTTACAAAATTCAAAATGGTGGTTCCAAGATGGCAAACAATTTTATTGGATGGTGTTCTCTGTTCCAAATTTAATTGCGGCTAAATTTTGTCCGCCATCTTGGAACCGCCATCTTGGAACCGCCATCTTGGAACCGCTATTTTAATTTTGCAAATCTGATCTTGAATTCGTGAGCAGCGACCCTAACGATGCGCGACTAGTTCATGTAGCTCTTCCGCTAGGTTGCTATGACCATGACTACATATCATCCTGCAATCAAAAAGCAGACGTGAATGCTTAAATAGCAACGATATTTCCGCTTATTTGTATCTATTGAGAAATCAATACTTTTAGAACTCAAATAATTACCTATCTTTAATATGGCAGCCTACCCACCAAACGAAATCGTGGACATGATTAAATATTGGGGGAATGTAGGAATAATTTTTCGAGAGCTGAACGTCTGTATGCTCAACGTTATCCTGATAGACGGCATCCAACTAGGGTAACCATTAAAACCCTTACGCAGAGAGCAAGTGATGGGTCTATGGTTCGCCGATCACGACATCATGAATATGATGTTAATGATAATCGTGTTATAACCATTTTAGCGAAAATTTATCGCGATCGTCATATTAGCACTCGTCAAATCGAAAGAGAAATTGGCATACCTCAGCGAACAGTTGCGAGAATATTAAAGGCGAGAAAATTTCATGCATATCACATTACGTTGACACAACGTTTGAATTTTAATGATTATTTACTTCGTGTAAATTTTTGTGAATGGGCTCTGCAAATGATCCAACAAGATGAAAACTTTTTCCGGTACGTACTCTTTTCGGATGAGGCAACTTTCAGTAGCAATGGAACTTTAAATAGACATAATTGTCACTACTGGTCCGATGAAAATCCCCATTGGTTTCGTTCAATTAATTTTCAAAATCGTTGGTCTTTAATGGTCTGGTGTAGCATCGTAAATGGCTATTTAATAGGTCCTTATTTTTCGAAGAAAACGTTAACGGACAAAACTTTTTGCAGTTTCTTCGAGACGATTTACCGGTACTATTGGAAGATGTTGATTTATTCACCAGAGAACGGATGTGGCTTCAATTGGATGGTGCGCCAGCACATTATTCAAATATTGTAAGAAATTATTTGAATAACCGATACAATGGTAGGTGGATTGGGAGATTGGGCACAGTCGCGTGGCCTCCTCGTTCGCCAGATCTAACTTCTCCCGATTTTTCTTGTGGGGAATGCTGAAAAATATTGTCTATAGCGAAAAACCAACAACCAAGGAGAATATGAAGGAACGTATTCGGACTGCTTGTGCCGCAATATCTCAAGAAATTCTTTTGAGAACAGAGAACACCATCCAATAGAAATTGTTTGCCATCTTGGAACCACCATTTTGAATTTTGTAAATCTGACTTCAGATTCGTAATCAGCAACCCCAAAAACCCTCGTAAACTTAATTTGGTGAAAATCGGTTGACTAAAACTTTTGTCCGCCATCTTGAAATTTTTAAAACAGCCACATATCTGATGACCTTCAGATGTTCTGACTATTCAGATGACTCACAACTCGGAAACTACTTAACGAACAGAACGTTACAGAACACTGTAGCTTTCAAGCCTCACAACTCGAAAAATACTTAACGAAAATACATTTGTTTATAGTGTTTTGGAAACGTCTCGAGATAAGCTACAAGAATATGCAATAAAAAATAGGCAGTTCCATTTAACATATTGAAGGTGACCTTCATGTGACCTTTAAGCAACTATTCGAGGTCAACTTATTGACACCATCTTATGTCCCCCTCGAAACCATATAACTTTTATCTGAAACATTTTCTTGTAAAATGCAAGGGAACGGAAATATTTGGGGTGATAGATTCAAATGGCTCACTCTGTATATATATATATATATAATAAATATTTCTTCATATATATTATATACATCATATACATCATAATTCACTTCATATACATCATAATTATATATAAAACAAATATTTATATAAATATTTGTTTTATATATAATTTGACATGATTATATATAAATCCCTATAATTTCTATATAATAATTTATATAATTATGTTTAAAAATGAACATATTTTAAAAGAATGAATGAGTGAATGAACAAGCAACTGGCTGTTGCCGTAAAACGATATATTGATTGATTGATTGCATTAATCACTGATTGATAGAATACTAAGCATAAAGTATCGAGAGAAAGAGAGAGAGAGAGAGAGAGAGAGAGCGAGCTTTCTTTTTTTACTTTTTCGAAAATAGTGACATTCAATGCAAACGAACAATTATATATTTCTTTATGACACGCACGTGATTTTATTATATTAAAAATAAATTAGTTTATACACACACACACACACACACACACACACACACACACACACACACACACACATATATATATATATATATAAATGAATAAATAAGTAAATATGTATTTATATATGCAATATATATATATATATATAAATACATATTTATTTATTTATTTATTCATTTCTATATAGCACGTCCTGAAAAAAACATGCTCGAAATTCTCGCGCTCGCTTGAAAACATTTTTTGTGTCACGTGCCAGTCACGCCGCGAATTTCCCCATACCCCCACCACTACGGCGTATGTGAGCCAAAAGAAGAGACGAAAGAAATCAGTGATCATTTGTTAGCCGTCGCCCGTCGCCCGTCGTCCGTCGCCAGCTCATTGCCCATCGCTCGGAAAATAAGATGCCGCCGGGGAGACGTAAGTAAATTATTACATTTTATAAATTATAGGTCTATATATATATATATATATATATATATACAATTCGGTAATATATAAATATATCTTTTCTTGCAGCACGAAGCGAAGGCAGTATTGCTAAGACGACGCCGAGGACGACGCTGACACCGACGCTGACGCCGAGGACGACGTCGACGCCGAGGACGACGTCGACGCCGAGGACGACGTCGACGCCGAGGATGACGCCGACGCCGAGGACGACGCCGACACCGACACCGACACCGACGTCGAAGACGACGCCGACGCCGACCCCGGCAACAATGATGATGCCGGCAACGACGGCGATGCCGCCGCCGATCCCCGCAACGATGATGACGACGCCGACGTCGACACCGACGGCGATGATGATGCCGCCGCCGACCCTCGCAACAATGATGCCGCCGCCAACCCTCGCAACGATGATGACGACGCCGACGTCGACACCGACGGCGATGATGATGCCGACGGCGATGCCGCCGCCGCCGACCCCCGCAACGATGATGACGTCGCCGACGTCGACACCGACGGCGATGATGATGCCGCTGCCGACCCCGGCAACGATGATGATGATGATGCCGACGTCGACACCGACGGCGATGATGATGCCGACGGCGATGCCGCCGCCGACCCTCGCAACGATGATGACGACGCCGACGTCGACACCGACGGCGAAGATGATGCCGACGGCGATGCCGCCGCCGACCCCCGCAACGATGATGACGACGCCGACGTCGACTCCGACGGCGATGCCGCCGCCGACCCCCGCAACGATGATGACGACGCCGACGTCGACTCCGACGGCGATGCCGCCGCCGACCTTCGCAACGATGATGACGACGCCGACGTCGACACCGACGGCGAAGATGATGCCGACGGCGATGCCGCCGTCGACCCCGGCAACGATGATGATGATGCCGCCGCCGACCCCGGCAACGATGATGATGATGATGCCGACGTCGACTCCGGCAACAATGATGATGCCGACGGCGATGCCGCCGCCGACCCTGGCAACGATAATGACGACGCCGACGTCGACTCCGACGGCGATGCCGCCGCCGACCCCGGCATCGACGGCGATGCCGACGACGACTCCGGCACCGGGAAAAAATATGAAAAAGGTTAGTTTTATAATATTTTGTTATATTTGTTAGAGAAAGGGAGGGAGACACACGAAATAGAGGTAAAAAGTATGAGACCTTCGTAAAATTTGTATCTTTGCTTATAAGAAAAAGATTGAAGTTGAAACTGTGCATATTTATTAGTCTTGCTATGTATAAATGTTTCAACTTAAAAATCGACAATTATCTTCTAAAAAAAATTACAATTTGTGAAAATAAAATTTACAAAAATTTTCCATTTTTATAGAAAATAATTGTAATTTTTTTTAGAAGATAATTGTCGATTTTTAAGTTAAAAAATTTATACAATGCAAGACTAATAAATATGCACAGTTTCAACTTCAATCTTTTTCTTATAGGCAAAGATACAAATTTTACGAAGGTCTCATACTTTTTACTTCTATTTCGTGTATCTCCCTCCCTTTCTCTCTCTCTCTCTCTCTCTCTCTCTCTTTCTGTTTTATATACTGTATACAATTTATCTTTTCCATTTACAGTGAGAATAATTTTTATACCAATTTACAGCTATATATGAACAAATAATAAAATTCATTTGAATTAATTCATATAAAATATATGTAAAATCATTACTTCAACGAATTACTTCGACTTATAATATGTAATAATGAGAATTACAGTTTTTTTATAATAAATGTCCTGGAAATCCTGGAAATGTCTTTGAATTTCTTAACCTTGTTTCGCTAGACACCCTGATCTTACATTTACAGTAAAAGTAATTTTTATAACAATTTACAGGTATATGCGAACAAATAAAATTCGTTAGAATCACAATGTCTATCAAATATATATTTCAGTAAAATCATTACTCGAATTACTTCGATGTATGAAAAATAAGATTTAGTTTTTATAAATTATAAATGCATATACTTATTATCTATAAAAATCATGTGAATATTATTGTATTATACAAATATAATTAAAATAAAATTGTATGTCATTATATATTTCATGTGTTTGATAATATAAATAACACAAAATTTTTTCTGTTTTATATATATAGTTTTTTATAGAAAAAAATTGATGTATTATTTATATTATCAAACATAAAATATATAATGGCATGCATTGGCTACACTAATTCAGAGGTTATCTTTTTCCTTCCAATGTCGAACAAAAAAGACAACCTCTGAACTAATGTGGCCAGTGTAGCTAAAACAAACAGACCTTATAAAAAACAGAAAGAGAGAGAGCGAGAGAAAGAGAGAGAAAGAGAGAAACACGTTGCAGCTCCATCTATCACGATATCACGCAACTAATCTACTGCTCTGTTTTATTCCGCAGCCTCGATTTGCACACACACATATGCGTGAAATGTTTTTTTATATATAACTTTTTTATTAGACTTGCAATCTCACTTTTAATTGCTTACTAATATTTCTTCATATAATCCTTACCGCGCATACTATATTTCATGCACAGACAAACTGCAAAACTTTTTTTATTAAATAAGTATTATTACGAACTGACACAAAGCAGCCGATAACAAAATTGTAATTTTTGATTTTTATATGATTTATATATGCAAACATAGCTAGCGCGGTCCGTTTTTATAAGTACTTTAATCGTGGAAAAGGATTTATTGATCAGTATAGTCAATAAAAAGTTATATGAAAAAATAAATATTCTCGCATTCGGTCGGTAAAAACATCATTTAGGATCCCCTTAATTAACATATATTTTTCGTTCGAACGTGTTAATTCATGCTGTTTACTTATTAAATCGTTAATATTTTTATTTTTCTTTAACTTTCTTTCTTTTTCAGGAGATCCGTCTTCTTCCTTGGATGGTTTGGGATCTTCAGGTGGTAAGTATTTTTCTTTTTCTTTAGATTGCTGTTTAATTTTTTCTTTTCTTTCAGGTTGCTGGGTAATTTTCCTTTTTCTTGCAAGTTTGTCTTCATTGATTTTCTCTTTGGACGAATTCGGATCCTGGTAAGTTAAAGTTTTATTTTCTCTTTTTCAGGCTTCCTGGGCTGGTCTGGATTTTCCTGAGGTAAGATACTCTTGTTTTTTGTGGGTTGTTGATTAATTTCTTTTTGTTTTTCAGATTTCCTTGGTGGAATGAAATCTTCGTGTGGTGAGTATTTTTCAATTCCTTTTTCTCTTTTAGGTTGTGGTTTGGCAAATTGTATTATAGTAGATGATTTTAGTGGTACGTCTATTCTGTAACTTTTTGAATGCTGTGGAATTGATTTTTGAATTTGTCTGTTTTTCTCGTAGTTTATTCATGGAATTTGTGAATTGTTTGTGATTTCGTTTGTATTTCCGTGGAAAATTGGTTTTTGTGGATGTAAGTTTCCAATTTTGTGAAAAACTACGTTTTTCTGATGATTAAACCAATTATGGTTTAGAAAAAAGTTTCTTTTGATCCCTTCTCGTGAGTATGACATTTCTTGGATTTCGGTTGCTATTTCGGAATCCCAAATTTTTGTTTGTGGTTTAATTTGGTTATTTACTTTTTCGCCCCCTTCTAAACTCGATCTATTTATTAGTCGTTCGATTGGAATCAACGAAATCATATTTATCTCTGAATCTTCCTCCGAATCGGAATTATTATTGGTCTCCTCCTGATTATTTGTTCGTGGAGGCTCGATTTCTTGTTTAGTGTCGGAAATTATTTCTTGATCGCTAGCTTGTGGACGTATTGTTTCTTCTTCGGCGTCGGATGTTATGATCCGCTGTTCCTCTTGATTTCTCAATTTTGGTTCGCGATGCGGTCTGATTTGACGGGAATTATATGTTCCGACTATTGTTCCGTCGAGATGTTCTATCAGATACGCGTTTTTTCTTATTATATCGCGAATAATGAATGGTCCATCATAAATTAAATGCATTTTTTTGGTAGTTTTGCGGTTTGCGTCCGATCTGCGGTGAATTTTGACCCATACACGGTCTCCGATTTCATATTGTTTGGCTGATTGGTGTTTTTCCGCTTGAACTCGTCGCTGGTTGGCTTGCTTTTCCAAATGGTTGGCTACCTTGGTTCTCAGCTCCTGATGGTCTTGATTTTCCGCTTCCTCTGGAATTAGTCGATTATTTATTTTAAGCTCAATTTGTAACTCGGGATGCAGTTTATTTGGTATTTCTCCCGTTGAAAAGTGATGGGTTTCGTTCGCAGTGATTTCGAAACGTTTTATTATCTTTTCCCATTGTGTATGTCTGTCATGAAAATATGACCTAATTACTCTTCCAATTTCTTTCATGACTCTTTCACTGGATTGGATTGTGGGTTATATGGTGACGTTTTGCGGATTTCCCATCCTTTTTCGTTGGCAAAGTCGGACCATTTTTTGGACAAAAATTGTCCTCCATTGTCGGTTACAAATGTATTTGGTTTTGTCATGTTTGTTAGGTATTCTTCTTCGATCGTTTGCATTATTGTTTCGATTTTTTGGTTGCATATCGGAAAACAACGGATTAATTTCGAGAATTGGTCCATAATTACGATGATGTATCTTTTTCTTTCTTTGGTTCTAGGTAAAGGACCGAACAAGTCTAACGATACGGTGTCGTTTTCTTTTTCCGGTAGGTCGTAAAATTGTGGACCTTGTGTCGGTCTAGTGTAATACTTCGATGCCATACACGTATTACATGACGCGACTACGTCTCTTGTAATCTATCCAGGTTCTCTAAGTGGAAGAATCTTTTTGTGAATCCGATCATTTTGTCGGTTCCAAAATGTACCAAAAATTTATGTACAGAGTTTATCAATTCCCATGCGATTTTATTCGGGATTAAGACTCGCTCATCGATTCCGTGATTTATCCGCACTAGTCCATCGCGGATTTTAACGTTTGGATCTTGTTGCGTTATTTTTTCTCGGATGTCCTGGTCGTTTCGTTGAGCTTCCTGGATGGTCTTTATCCAATTTTCTGGGTTGTCTTCTTTTTCCAAATCGAGGATCGAGCATACTCTGTACTCGTTTGTATTGATGTTTGATTGTTGTCGTCTTGGTATTGTCTCGACAACGTGTCTGCGATCTTGTTTTCCGTACCTGGAATATGGTTTATCCTCCAGATCGAACTCTTGTAGAAACGACATCCATCGGGCTATGCGTTCGCTGTTGTTCGCG